CAGCAGCTCATTGCTCTATTCATACTGCATTGGACATCCCGTATCCAACATGTGTGATGTAGAACAGAGACGAGTTGTGTTTGTTCACATCGACCGATACTGAGTGGTTGCGGTACAAGGTTAAGAACGCTTGCGCAAAAAGACTAAGGGAGGGAAACGGATTCGAAACTCATATGTCATTAGCCAAATACATCCGTAGACCATAGGTCCACCGTTGTATAATTGGCAATGTACCCGTGTACTGAATGGGAATTGTGGGTTCGAATCCCACCGGTGCCCTTAGATTTTTTCGCAAATTTTCTCACACGCACGTCTCTTGCCGATGATATGTGCTAACCTCTCAGTATCTTCTAACTGTCGCATATAACAAATAAAAATTGACTTTCAGTCGCTAACCTAAATCGTTATTAATATCGATGTGTAATTTTCTTCACAAGAGGGTTAGCTTTGGTCGACATTCCGGCGAAAAATCTAAGCCAACCTGACACCAACCTGACTTCCATCAAACCCCAACACGATGTTGACCTGACATTGACCCGACATAAACCCCAAATTGACCCAACAAAAACACGACATTGGGTCGACATCGTCCTTAAATTAGCCTTACATTGATCCGACATCGGGTCGACTTGTCTGTTCGGGACCATTTTGCTGGGTTTCTTCCACACTCCACTGTCATATATCACATGATAGTTGGTGACTCAATTGACAGTGACAATGAGCTTCGAATGAGAAAGGGGCTCTTCAAATGAAGGGCACTAGAGAATTTTTTTTTTCACAGGATCGATCTAATAGTTGTATTGGTTCATCTTCAATCGAATGATATGAAAATTAACAGCACTGATGCTATTACGATACGATGCACAGTTACAGAGAAAGTACACTGTCGGAGAAACAAAGAGAGAGAAAAAGAGACTTAACACCGTTGGAGCGGCAGCTCTCCAACACATAAAGAATGAAATGTGCTGCACGATTTAAAATGCTCTTTTACGTCTCTTTGGAAATGAAAGTGCAGTCTCGCAACAGTGTGTGTTTTACTCGCAAAAAATTGAGTAGCACCCGATCCCTGCAGTCAACTTCCAAATGCAACATTTCAGGTTTTTTATGAATTTTTAACAGAAATACACCAATTTGAATTTGACCAATTTTTGCACGTTCCAGACTTTATTGCGGTTTTTTGAGTCCAACTTTATGCCATGATGACTTATAAAGAATGTTTTTGCATGTTAGAAAATTAAAAATGATGTGATTTAAAAAAAAATATACCTTTTTCCAATATTAAAAAAAAAAATCCCTTTTGTCTCAGACGTCATTTCGATTAGATCATCCGTTTTTGAACTATGGTTTATTGAAAAATATCGAATATGCCACTTTGAAAAATTAAAAATGAGCCGTATCATTAAACCAATTTAGAGAATTTCAGGTAAGCATAAATAAGTTCAGGAAAAATAAATGAGCGTTAGTAATGGTTATAGAATTTAAGGAAAATTGTCGAAGTTTCAAGAGGATGAGAAGTATTGTGAGCATCAGGCTAGTTTCTCAAACTACAAAAGAACTTCTAGGCAGTTTCATGAAATTTAGGAAAAAATTGGGAACTTTCAAGTACTTACTATGTGTGTTGCATTCAATAAACATTTTTCAACAGTTGGACCTAACTTAGCAGCAAAAATAAATGTTACAAGTGAAAATCCATTACGATACATAAACCTTATTTCTGATTCAATTTTTCTACAACCATCATCTGTCAACGAAGTTATACTACTGATTAATGATCGCCAACAAATGTCCAGGTCATGACAATATCCCTGCCAAAATAATTAAAAATATAGTTGTTATAGTTTCAAGAATTCTGTCTGAATCCTTCAATTTAATGATTTAAACGGGTTCGTATCCAGATTGTCTCAAAACAGCCAAAGTAGTGTCTATATGTAAGTCAGGAGATGCAACCCAAGCCGATAATTATCGACCCATATCAACTCTATCAGTTTTCAACAAAATATTTGAAAAGTTATTAATCACACGCCTGATAAGTTTTTTAGATAGGCATAATATACTGCCATAGCTGAGCTTGTAGACCAAATATTGCAAGAAACAGATTCAAAAAAAGTAGTGGGCGCCTTGTTTCTTGACCTGAAGAAGGCATTTTACTCTCTCAACCATGATATTTTACTAAGGAAATTAGAACGATATGGAATCAGGGGAACCGCAAACAGCATTATCCGCTGCTATTTGAACAACAGAAGTCAATATATTTCATGCGATGGAGAAATAACCTCTAGAAGAGAAATTAGTACTGGAGTTCCACAGGGAAGTAACATTGGCCCTTTACTTTTCCTTATCTATATCAACGATATTAGCAACATTAATCTCGCTGGAACTCCCAGGTTATTTGCTGACGACACGGCCTTATTTTATCCACATGTCAATTTGAATATAATTGTTTCAAAGATGAATCAGGTTGCTCCAGGGTTATTTTTCGGTAAATCTTCTCTCATGAACCTGAAAAAAACCAAGTACATGATCTCTCGGTCACCTAAAAAGGAAAATTCTACCACAAGCACCAATTTTAGCTATGAACACTGACATTATCGAGAAAGTAGACTCATTCAAATATCTGGGAGTTTATCTAGATTCTAAGTTATAGTGGGATTATCACATAAATAAGGTTGCAAGTAAAGTTTCTTCGATGTACGGAATTTTGAGACGTATTAGTAGTTTTCTTCCTCTAAAGGCTATGCTTCTTTTCTATTTTGCGCATATTCATTCTCATTTGAGCTACTTGATTATTTCATGGGGTAGAGCTGGTAAGTCAAAATTGAAAAAAAAAACTGCCAACATTGCAGAACCGCTGTCTTAAAATTATTTATAAAATGCCATTTTTATATCCTTCAGCTCAATTATACACCGATGTATCCAATAAAATATTACCAGTCCTTGGATTGTGTGAAGAGCAAACCTTGCTAATGGTTCATAATGTTCTACATAACCCATTAAGGCTACATAGCATAACTATCGACACGCTACCTCGGACTCACAATACCAGGCAAACTAACCATCTGTCAAGAACCCGTGCATACTCCAGTTTCTGTCAAAAAACCGAATTTCCTTTATAGGTCCTACCAAATTTAATAACTTACCAAGACATCTTCAACAAACAACAAATATAAAATCCTTCAAAACTAAGATTAAGAGTTTCGCAACTATTAATTTAATGCAGTTTATCATTATTTATTTTTATTATCATTCATATGTCAACCGTCACTAAATATTAAATGCTTTGCTGAAAAACAGTAGTCACATTAGAAATATTTTAATTTGTTGTTATTTTCGTTTTCTTTTAGGTGTGCTTCTTTCAAAGGATATTTTTTCCACTAGAAGCACATTAATTGTTTTCTCATATATGTTTTTTTTCTCTCTCTCTCATTTGATATAACTATTTAACATTAATCCTCAACTATATATCCTTTTAGTAATTATTTTTGTTTTGTTACATATGGTTGATTTCAGAGTGTCCACTACCAGGGAGCTCAGCATGCAGTCGAGCTTTTTGGTGTGGGGGAGAGCGGAGGGTCACTCAAAAAAGAAGTAGTTCTGAAGATCTCAGAATAGTTCATCCCATATTAAACGGAGATTTCCATAGAAAATTTCGATGAAGCTATCCTCCGAATTCAATTTTCTTTTAGCTTTCCTAGGAATTACCATAAAATTCACCACAATAAGAAACACTTTGGAAACATTATCCGAATAGTCATTGAATCATTTCAGTTTTTTTTGAATCTCACTCCTTCACTTGGAATTCTACTCACATTACGTCTCCTAAGAATTCATTCCCAAGTAACATTGCAGGTTTTATCGAGGTTTTATAACATTCGACTAGTCTAAATCATGGTCTACAGAACCCTCATAAATTGTTTCTTGGTATTGGCATTTCAACACATAGATTTTCTTAGATTTGTTCTCATAATTTGGTTGCCAAACTCTGCTGAATTTATTTTCCGAATTCCTTTGAAGATGTCCTGGAGCTATTCTCAGATTTGAAGGATTACAGTATTAGTATTTTTTAAATCCAAGGACTTATGCTCCGGATTCGTTTTCTCCCACAATCTTTATGAAATTATCTTCAGAATTCCCTTGGAATTTTCCTCTGAAGTTCACAAGAGTTGTGCTCCACAGAAATTCCTAAGAGTTTTAATTAAAATTTACTTTTAATTCAATTCAGGGTTTCTTGAAATTCTACTCAAAACTATGAGGCTTCACATGAAATCTAAATGCCATCAGAACTATAATAAGGTCCTTAGAAATTATAGTAAAATTTCACGAGCCTTTAAAGCTGTGCATGGAATTTGATAGCAGATTCACGAAAATTTCTTGAAGTATTATACCTTTTAAGTCCAGAACTGGCTCAAATTCACATAAGTGTTTATGAGATACTGATTGAATTTGTCTAAACCATCAAACATATATTTGGTGTGCCATCATAACAACTAGTTTTCTTCCCTTAGGTTACTTTTTAGTAACTATTTTTACAACTATAATTCACTATTTGCTCACTTATTTCTTCAAAATGGTCACTAAAATCACTATTTTTGACAGCAGTGTAATTGATTCGTTATAGATGTCATGCACGCGATTGGTTGGCAATCAAATAACTTTAAAGAATCGCTTAATTTTGCATTTTTTTTTTGTTGTTGTAAAAAAGTCACGCACTTACCCTAGATTAAAAATGATTTCTTCTGCCTTGCCGTCAGAATTATGTTTATCTATTCGCTTAAACAGCAGCAAAGTTTAATGAGCATGAAGAACTATGTTATTATATCTAACAAGAGTAGAAGATGAACCTCGCTACAACATTGATTAATAAATAATGATGCATAGACAATTTCATTCTAAGCTTCTCTTTGGCCTACTTATCCTATATATGATTTGGTGTACATTATGTTCCGACCGACAGTCAGTAGTGGTGCCATCAGCAACTAACTAGTTGCCAGCTCTTTCGAACTATGAATGAAACCAAGTCGTGGAAACGCTTCCTCAATGAGTACATTACGGAGAACTTTGTGTTTGCCATACGATTCGTGGCTATGCGACAGGTTACCAAAACTGAAAAGTAAGCTTCCAGCCGCCCGTGCAATCGAAACAAAATGTTCTTAACCACATCACCCACTCCAGATCTTGGTGGATTCTATGGATTGTAGCATCCCTAGGGGCATGTTTATTTTCCATCGTTACCTCCTATAACAGATGGAACAGCAATCCGGTCACCATTGTGTACGCTTCCGAACTGATGCCCGTTTTGACGCTACCTTTTCCGGCCATCACAATCTGTCCACTAGCGAAATCCCGTGCAGAGGACTTCAACGTGACACGGGCCTTCGAAATGAGGAACAACAACAAAACGGTGGATGAAGAAAGGTACTCAATGTGAAGTTATTTGTGTCGAATAAAAACACCTAATTACTGTTCCAGTGAAATGAAGCTGCGTGTCCTGGCTCACGTTTGCCCATCATCCAGACACTGGAAGATGTTCAACGAGTCCGAAGGGGAAAACGTAGTCCCATCTTTGCGAGCCATGGCACTTTCGCTCGAAAAGATTATGATACACTGCTGGTGGAGGTCCTCTTCGATACCTTGTGGTAGCATCATGGTGGAACGACTAAAGGATGATGGCATTTGTTATACGTTCAACTCACTGGCATTGGATGAAATCTATCGAACGGATCAGATATCACAGGACTTTCTAAACTTTCCAAATGTAACCCCGCCTTCGGATTGGACACGAGATAGTGGATACCGTTATGGGGCGGGACTGGATGCCTATCCGAAGCGTCCACTCACTGGTGGCATTATATCCGGGTTAATCGCGACGGCGATGATTAAGAAAGAAGATCGGCAACTTATGTGCCAGGTATTTTTTTTCTCGTAATCTGTTACTGACATTAGATAACTGACTTAGCATTTTCTAGGGAGCATACAGAGGCTTTAAATTTTCTGTACATGCTCCGGACGAAGATATTCCGACTGGGGATCGATTTTATCGCCTAGACATCTTGAGCTCCGTGCACTTGAACGTAAATCCAGTGGTCATCAAGACGTCGGAAAATCTAAGGACTCTTCCCCCTATCAAAAGGAATTGCTACTTCTCGAACGAACGATACTTGCAGTTTTATAAATTCTACACTCAATTCAACTGCATTATCGAATGTGTTTCCAATTACACGCTGGCAACGTGTGGTTGTGTGAAGTTTTCATTGCCCCGAGCGACTGGTACGAAGATATGCAATGCCAGCAAAATAAACTGCTACCGTTATGCTTTTCTGAAACTGTACGAGGCTGCAGTTCGAAACATGTTGGCTGGCGGTGATAGACGGAGTTGCAACTGTATGCCATCATGTACCAGCATCGACTACCAGGTTGGAATGTCACAAACTCCGTTCAATATTGACGATTTTCCGATAAAGTTGAATTTTACGACTGAAAAGTAAGATAACTAGCAAATGTTCAATATAGGATAAAATAGTAAAAGTATCATCAACTCCACAGTGCCGATGCAGCCGTACTGTTCGTTTTCTTCAAATACCGCCACTACATTCCGCTGTTGCGACGGGAACTGGTGGGAGTCAATCAAGCTATAGCAGAGCTAGGTGGGCTGTTTACACTTCTAATGGGCTCCAGTATGATGAGTTTGGCGGAGATTTTTTACTATTGCTGTGTGCGGCCGCTCCGAAGAGAGCGCGCTAAAGTGAAACCCGCGGTCAAACATCCACGAAGTCGAGGACATCGGATCCATCTGCGGGTAGAACCGTGGGCGAAGCATCGTCATCAAACACTGGGGTTGTACGATAATGATGACTTTATTTAATGTGTTCTGCTTGCAGATTTTTTTAAGCAAATGCCTAGTGATCCCTCCCTCTCTACTGTGATTATTCAGGATAGTCGAACATTACAAACAATGCACAATGCACGGTGGTACAGAATGAAAATTCAGCAGGAAAGATGGCTTAATGCTTGAAGCCTGCTTCAACTATCCATATCATTTAACTCTAACAAAATACTTTTCTCTAGAGCAAATATTCAAAAAATGTTGTCATATGTCAAAACTGTTACAAGATTTCTGAATCAGAAAATAAGGTTTATCAGTAGTTCCTTATCGTTGATATAGCTTCAGCAGCCTTATAAAGCAATAAATCTTTTCTTAACAAAATCTTACTTAAGTCCATCCAGGTTAATATGAGCACCACTAATATATCAACTTAAATTTTTCATACTTTTTGGGTGAACCTTAATACATTTTAAAATTCTGCTCCACCTTACTGGTCATAAATCAGCGAACAACTGAATTGCAATGCATGTTGTTTAAGTTAAGTTGAAAAGAAGCATGTGATACGACATACTGCACTCCCCGTGAATTAGAATCCCCAGAGCAGCTAAACCCATCCTCATTTTGCAAGTACACCAATTAAAGTCCTTCCTGCATGTAACCGTTATCTGATGTATGAATAATCAATCAGTTTTCGAGTGCTTATAAATGCCATTCTCCGCTTCCGAGCCATTCTTTCTGCACTGTGCGACGCATCACAACAATGTACATCTCTCGTGCGACCAAGTTCCAACCGAAGCCTCCACCGCCCCCTCCGGCTCATCGCAAATACCTGCGGGAATCGAAAAAACTAGCTGTGGAGTTCTGCAACAACACCTCCATCCATGGGGTCAAGTACTTTGTCGGCTCGGATCGGGCACTGATCGAGAAAATCTGGTGGATTGCCGTCTTCCTCCTGTCGTTGTACGGCTGCGGAAGGCTCATCCAAACAGTCTACGCCAAATGGGACCGTGAGCCGGTGATTGTAACATTCGCCCAGAAACCGACGCCCGTGTTTCAGATCCCATTTCCAGCGGTGACCATCTGTCCGGAGACCAAAGTGAAGGCATCCAATTTGAACTTCACCCAAGCGTATTACTACAGTAGACATCCGATACTACGCAAGAAGCTCTCCGACGAACAGTAAGATTTATTTTGAGAATATTTCAATTTGACACATTCAACGATGGCTACGACCTTCCAGAATCAACAAGCTGCTAGCCATGCTGCAGGTTTGCGAATTTGCATTCAGTGATCAGTTCGACAATCAAACCTACGACGACGATTGCGTTTATCTGCTACAGGAGATGGCCATACCCCAGGATGAAATATTCGTCGTTTGCAGTTGGCGTACAACGTTTAGAAACTGCTCGACTGACTTCAAGTTGACTCTGACGGACGTTGGATTCTGTTACACGTTCAACTCTATTTCCAGTGACGATTTGCTGCGCAAAGATGAACTGCACAGTGACTTTGACTACATTGCGGAAACTCGTTCGTCCAATTGGACACTGCACGATGGGTATGCAGCGGGAGTCGACATCGATACGTATCCGAAAAGGGTCCTCGGAGCGGGAATAAAGGCTGGGGTTTCGGCTCTGTTGAAAGCGAACATAAGCGATTTGGACTATCTGTGCGAAGTAAATGGTTTGAGTATTGCTTTAGGTTGGTACTAAATCAATTCCTGTTTTAGAACTCTTTTCAGGGCTTCAAGGTACTGCTGCATATGCCCAACGAATATCCCCAGTTGCTGAATCAACATTTCCGTGTTCCTCTCAATCAAGAAGTAGCCGTATCGGTAACCCCCCGGATGATAATTACATCGGAATCCATCCAATCGTACAAACCGAATCGTCGGCAGTGCTTCTTCAACCACGAGCGCTATCTGAAGTTCTTCAAGGACTACACCCAGAGCAACTGCGAGCTGGAGTGTCTAGCCAATTTCACACTTCGCCGGTGCGGTTGCGTCAAATTTTCCATGCCACGAGCTCCACACGTGAAAATTTGTGGCGTAAGCATGGAGCAGTGCTACGAAAACGCTACGGTTGAACTGTTGGAAATGGAGGTGAGATTACGGGAGAATCCACGCATAAAATTCCAGAACGAATGCAACTGTCTACCGTCGTGTACTTCGGTGCAGTACAATACGGAGATATCGCAGGCTTCGTTCGAGTGGATGCGGCTGCTTCCGGTGGTGAAGACCTTTGGGGATGCACTGACCGGGTAGGTTTTGCGGAGAATGACATTTTTTTTTCTCTATTGAACCAATTGACGGCTAACTTGTTTTTCAGCGTTCAGGTGTCCCATTTGATTGTATTCTTCAAGGATGCGCAGTTCATTCCGATCAAACGGAGTGAGCTGTTCGGTCTTACGGACTTTCTGGCGAATTGCGGCGGATTGTTGGGATTGTTTATGGGAGTGAGTATTCTTAGCTTGGTGGAAATTTTCTACTACTGTATCATCAAACCGGTTGTAATGTGGTGTAAATCGTCCAATTCGAAGAAGGAGAAACCAGTTCAAGTGAAAACGGTTAGTGGCGTAGCTGAAGCCAACAGTATCTGGAAGTATGAGGGGACCATGTAAAGGTGTAGTCGAGCTGTCGGTAGCAACTCGGATACAGCAGTTTGTGCACATGTTTTTGAGTAGTCAGCACCCAGGGCAAAATCTGTTAAGCGTTAGTAGCTCGATGTTTGATGACATATATGGCGCTTGTAGAAGATCGATTTGTTTGAACAATTAATTAAATACTAAATATATAGCATTGAACTCACGGTTTGAAGATTAACTGTTAGGAACGAACACCCCTCGAACAGAAGTAGGGCATTTTATTCCTAAGTGCACCTTCGAATGCGCTACTTACTCACACGCATACCTTGTGAGTTGCAGTCTTGATCTAATGTGACGAGGAGTTGTACCTAAAGTAACTTAAATGTAAAACTTACATTTATATTATACTAAAATTATGTATATCCACCAGAAATCTAGATCTTAGCCTAATTTTTGATACTTGTAATTTGTTGTCTTGAATCATACAATTTCGGAGACTAAATGTAAGTAATTGTTAAATTCGTGATATGTCATGTAATCTAAAAATAAATAACCCTTTCAGCTTTGAGCTTACTTGCACCACAAAAAGCGAGTTTGCTTCGGGGATACCGAATTTATCACAACAAAATCTCAATGATTTATTTCGTGAAGATGCAACGGAGGTCCGACGTTCGTCAGACAAGATCCCAGACGAGAGCATTACGAGAAAGGGAGCAAGCTAACCTCCATTACGACATTGGACACGACATACGATCATTGTCTGAGTCAGCTTCAGGGGCTGTCCATAAACTACGTAGACAGTTTAGGGGGGGGGGGGGTTGACAATTATCCACGGCCCATACAAATTTAAAAAAAAATTGTATGGACAATTGTCTACGCAGGGGAAGGGGGGGGTCAAGAATCCCAAAAAAACTGTCTACGTAGTTTATGAACAGGCCCTCAGAAAACTACCTTGCGACGGCTACAAACAATGAACAAACAGTAGCGGCCGATTGTGCTGGCTGTAATCGTCCAAACAATACCGAGTCGATGGTATTGTGTCGGGAATGTCAGTGTTATTGGCACTATTCTTGTGCATATGTGAAGTCGACTGATATGCTTATGACATCGTTTATTTGTTTACTGTGTGCTCCACAAAATCATGCTCCACCATCTGTGTCTGGCCGTTTCAGTACATCCAGTGTGCGACAAGCACAACTAGCACGGGAGTTAGATCGCTTGGAAGAGGAACGACGGTTGGAAGAAAAATGCAGAGAGAGAAGTTTGAACTTCAGCGACAGTTCATCGCCAGAAAAAACGAGCTTCTGGACCAGAGAGATGGAGACGACGATGTAGCGAGTGTTGGTAGTAGTCGTGATCATCGCAGCAGGATGGAGAGTTGGATAGCAGAACAACAAGGGGCTGCTAGTACCAATCGTTGTGACGTCGTGAAAAAGATGTCCAACAATTGCCTTCAACAACAATTATGCGAACTATCTGTCGATTTAACCAACGCAAACTGTCAGTCGACTCCAGTGGCTCCGAAGAAAACATATGATAGTAACAATAATCGCATGCTGTACCTAGCGGACCCCCTCGTTGTGGCTTTCGATGTATGGACAACGGGCAGCATAGGGATTGGAGAAACGGAGGACGATCAAGTCGAGGAAAGCGATGCCGCAGTCGCTGTCGAGGTGGGATCTGTTGAACACCCCGCTTTTCCCATCATATCACCGGTCGATGTCGAAACCTTTAACCGACTTTTGGAGGTGCCATCAGGAACTAAACCGAACACTGGAGCAGTTCCAAAGCTGGTCAGAAAAACAGCATCGTACGATGCTTGGCGTAACGAAACCGAATTGCGTCGCAAGCATCACGAATTGGAATTAGAACATGAGAAGAAAAAAGACCTTCGTCCAAAGCGGGAATTGGAGCTGACGAACCTGCTGAAGCGGCTGGAAATCCAGAAGCAAGAAGAACTGGAAATCCACCATGCGAGGGAAGCCAACTTGAAATTACAGTTGCAACAACAGGAGCGCGATCAAGCACTCCTCAAGGAACGGAGGCAGCAAGAAGTAGCGGACGCGCGGAATGAATTGCAGCGGCTACGGGAATTAAAACTGCAGTTTCTGAAGCAGAAATCGTTCCGTCATAAGGAGAAAAACACCAGATTAGGCAGATTAGGTATCGTCATCCACCAGCACCTGGATTTGGAGCAGCACCAGTTACCAACGAGCAGTCACTGCTAACCAACAAGCGGTCAGTAGTAGGACCAGGTAACGTTCCCCTTCGTACCATCGTGCCACCGGTAAGTGTTCAAAACCCCATTGCAAACAACTTCCCAACAACCCTTCATATCCGTACCACTTGTCATCTGAATCCTGCTCTTCATCGCTGATCAGCACCCCTGTGGGTGGTCGCAGTCAGCACCATGTAACGGAAAGTCTGCTTTCGTTATCCCCCCATGTTGCGTCTAATCTACAAGGTAGTCGGTCCGTTAATAATCCGATAGTGGTGAACACCACTATACCAAGCAACGGCTTCCAGCAAGTGGAATATTGTCATATGCTCCAGCAGCTGGCTGCCAGACAAGTAGTGTCGAAGGAATTGCCATTTTTTTCCGGTGACCCAGTGGATTGGCCGCTCTTCTACAGCAGCTATGAACATTCAACCCAGGTGTGTGGATATTCAGATTCGGAGAATTTGCTACGTTTGCAACGTAGTCTTAAGGGTGATGCGAAAGAATCAGTAAGCAGCTTTCTACTTCATCTAGCAACGGTACCACATGTGATGTCTACGCTTGTTGGGAGGCCCGAACATATTGTACATCAAATGGTTGCCAAGGTCCGGTCCATGCCGGCTCCAAGGGCGGATAGGCTGGAAACTCTTGTGGGATTTGGTCTTGCGGTGCAAAACTTGTGTGGACACCTCAAGGCGATCGGGTTGGATCAACATTTATCAAACCCTATGCTTTTGCAGGAATTGGTTGACAAACTCCCAGCTAACGTTAAACTTAACTGGGCGTTACACCAACAACAAGCTACTGCTGTCGATCTAGAAGAGTTCAGTGAATACATGGGCAGAATTGTATCTGCCACCAGTAGCGCGACCCGTTACAACCCGTTTCCTCAGCAGAAACCACCAAGGAAATTTCGGGCTAAAGACAACGAGAAGGCCTACATCAATGCGCATACCATGTCAAATGAAGTAAAAGAAGAAGATCAAGAAGAGTTCTGCAATGGTGCGTCCAATGAACGCACGGTGTCAAGCAAGCAGGGTAAGCCGGTGGATCAGCAGATTGTGAAGAGTAAGTCGTGTCCAGCATGTGGATCTACAGATCATCAAGCTGTAGGTTGTTCGACTTTCCGTCGCTGCCTTACACCGCATGCACGATGGCCATGCAAAGGAGAAGTTTGTGGGATCAATGGTACAAACAACACCAACGGAAACACCAGTAAATGCGACCGTCACCGTCCATCGGCAGTTTAGTTCGTCTACGTTGTTCCGAGTTCTTCCAATTACCCTCTACGGAAAGAATGGTCAGGTGAATACATTAGCGTTTCTCGACGACGGTTCTTGTTACACTGATTGAAAAATCGTTGGTGAGCACTCTTGGAGTGGATGGCCCAGTAGATTCTTTGTGTATTCAGTGGACAGGTGGCGTTAGAAAGCAAATAACAGAGACGTGTAGAGTGCAGCTTGACGTATCGGTAGTGGGAAACAGCAAACGATACAAGCTCGGCGAAGCGTACACCGTGGAGGATCTTGGCCTACCCGAACAGTCATTGAATTTCGACGAGATGTCTGCGCGCTTCAAACATTTGGAGGGTTTACCTGTGCAAAGTTTCGATGCCGCAGTTCCAGGTGTTTTAATTGGGCTGAACAACACGCACTTGCTGGCAACGCTCAAGCTTCGTGAGGGTCGAGTAAACGAGCCAATCGCAACGAAAACCCGTATTGGATGGGCTATCTATGGCTGCCAACGCGGATCCGAGGCCGTTCTGCAGCATCGCCAAATGCACATCTATGCGAAACCTGCTGATCAGAATTTACACGACTATGTACAAAGTTTCTTCTCCCTTGAAAGCCTTGGAGTTGCCTTGGTACCGCAAATCGAAGGAGATGATGAACAGCGGGCCCGTAAGATCCTGGAAGAAACGACTGAACGCACAACCAGCGGACGATTCATGACAGGACTTTTGTGGAAGCATGACGAAGTGGCGTTTCCCAACAGCCGGCCTCTATCAGAAAAGCGGTTGAAGTGTTTAGAGAAGCGGTTGTCAAAGGATCCGCAGCTGTATAACAACGTTCGTCAACAATTATTGGACTACCAGGAGAAGGGATACGCGCATAAAGTGACTGCCGAGGAGCTGCGTCAATTTGATCCACGTCGAACCTGGTATTTGCCTCTTGGTGTAGTGCTACATCCTAGAAAACCGGGAAAAGTTAGGGTAATCTGGGACGCTGCAGCGAAGGTAGAGGGTATTTCGCTGAACACAATGTTGTTAAAGGGCCCAGATCTTTTGACATCTCTACTTGGTGTGCTGTTCCGATACCGCGAACGTGAGGTGGCCATTTGAGGAGACATCAAAGAAATGTTTCACCAGCTCCTAATTCGCGAGGAAGACCGTTGTGCTTTGTTGTTCCTGTGGAGAAACTTCCCAGATATGCCGATCGAAGTCATGGTAATGAATGTTGCGATCTTTGGTGCGTCGTGTTCCCCAGCTCAATCTCTGTTCGTAATGAACTTAAACGCTACGGAAAACGAAGTCGAACACCCAAGGGCCGCAGCCACGATTAAATACCGTCACTACGTGGACGACTATCTTGACAGTCTGGATACGGAAGAGGAAGCAATCAAATTGGCGTTGGAGGTAGCGGAAGTCCACTCAAAGGTTGGTTTTCAAATAAGAAATTGGCAATCCAATAGAATGGCTGTGCTCGACAAAATCGGCGAAGTGAATCCCAGTTCCGTTAAGTGTTTCGCAGCAGACAAAGAGACAGGGAATGCAAGGGTCCTGGGAATGGTTTGGTTTCCAGATGAGGATGTATTTTCG